CTTATTTATATTAAGTGATGAAGTTCGTAGATGCGTACGAAAATATAAAGAACTAAGAATTAATAAGACGGCTGAATGCCCACTCTTTTAGTATTACGGTCTAGCTATTAGTCTACGGCTATAGTGTTATAGTCATGAGCCTACCCTAGTACTAGATTATGATTTACTAATAACTACTTGAATCTTATACGCATGTCCGCACTCAAGAAAAACCCAACCCTTTAACTACTTAAGTCTATGTCGATATCATTAGGGTCGGTCGAATCTACTAACGAGGGCGGCGGGAAATCTAGATTAGATCCAGGGAACGCTATATTATAGTAAAGTTCTTTAACTGCGTGTTCGTCCTTAAAAGGGCCATAATTAGCGAGATACTATACCTAGGTAGTAAGCGGCCGGTCTTGGTTAATGATAATGCCACTGTTAGGCATGCTAGGCTATGTATCGATCGTTGGCTGTTTAGATAGATCTAAGATCCGCGACCTAGAATTACCCTCACCATCTAATGCGATAGCATTAGTGCCCTCGGGAGATGTGTGCGATAACGTGGTAGTAATGGTCGGCATGGTTAGCGTGATTAAAGGAAAAACAGGAGGAGGGTTAAGGTCCGTAGAAGGTCCTGGAATCGGCGATTCCACACGTTCCTTAGAAATAGTACTAGAGTCTACGAGGGGGTCTAGGGAGTTTATCCGTGTGGTGTTATCGGGCACATCATCCAAAACCTTAGAGGCGTCTATAATCGCCAATTCTAGTGCCTCCTCTAGTATCTCGTTACTAAGTTTAACGCGCTTAACGGCCTTACTTAAATCGCTGTACGACGCTATACGCTTCTTCCTTATAGTTACTTCGGCTATAGAAGACTTTTCGGCGGTATCGGCTGGCGGCTTCATGCGACGTAATAAATCCTCTTCGTCACTCTCGTCGACTTCCTTAGGTAGGTTAAGGTCGGGATCGTCATACTTCAGCTCATCCCGAACTTACTATATGGCGAGCTAATACGCAAAGCCAATGTTAGACTAATAATCATGGAAAATTAGACGACCGAGCGACTCCCTAAGTTGGCGAAGTACGGCGAGTTGTCGCTCCCGATGATTAGTAGGAGTCTTAAATCTAGGTTCTTTATATACGGGCTGGGCGAGCCGAAGACGAAGACCCTCTACGAGAATTTTAGGGCTCCACGTAAGTCTCTCGAGCCGCTCATAGGGTAGAATCAAACGGTAGTATTCCTTGGAGCTGTGGAAGTGTAGATCAATATAGGTATTAGGTCCATAGCCGCCCGCTCTGGCGCCACCTAGTATATATATAATCTTCGCGATAAAAGTGAATCTGGCATGGAGCTTACCTTGATTCTCGAGACGCGAAATTCTCTCCGCTGCAGCTAACCAGAACTACGTGACGTAGTAGTGTCCAACCGAGCGGTAGATAATAGGTTTGCCTATTACTAGTCGATCGATGAAGAAAGCTATCGCCTAAGGTCGTAGACACCTACTAGGAAGCTTTAGGTCGTTGGAGATTATAAAGTCACCATCGTTTTTTTTACGCTTTGGCGCTTTGGCCTTTTTTACAGCTACGGCTATAACTAGAGTAGTGCTAGTCGGCTTTACGGTGTCGGTTTAGTTTGCCTTTAATCTTTTCGATGGCGTTCTAACTACTTTCCGGGCTTTGGATTTTGACGGTGTTCGCGGTGGTAGCAAGTTAGAGGTATCGGGTTCGGAGTCCGGATTATTAGGAAGTTCGCCATCTGCAGGCGGAGGTATAGAACCTAAATTATTAGTATTATCTTTGGGTTCCTTTACCGAAGATAGTTCCGTAGTAGGGTGTAGCGTTTCTATAGTCGGCTCTTTTACTACTACACTATTCTTAAGTAGCGGTGCGGTCTTAGACGTTTTACCGGTCTCACTTATAATAGGATCGGCGGCATTTTTAGTCTTAGAACCCTTCTTCTTCTTCTTCGCGGGGGATGGTTTATCGGTTACTAGAGGACGGGCTACCACGGCTCGACCATGTGTAACGTTATCCCTAATTGTATCCTCGACGAAACGTGTACGGTTAGTGTAAACTTCCTAAGATAGAGCCAACTTAATACTAGCGGCGCGAGCCGTATATGCACGAGGTGTCATCGGTATATATTAGATAGGTAGTTCTACGGTAGACGGTTAGTATAGAACATATATATCTTAAGAAGGGCCTGGAATCGTCGATCGCAGACGGTTATAGGGAACATGTATATCTCAAGAGGGGTCTAGAATCGTCGATCCCAGACGGTTATAGGGAAAGACTATAGAGTGTATATAATGACGAATGCGCGGGTATTGGAATCGCTGATCCCAAGGATTACTAAAGCCGGGATTTAACATACCTGGAAACTTAATGGCGCGCGTTTCGATCGACGGGAATACAATACTAAAGGATGTTAGTGGATGATAGTAATTCGTATGATTGGAAACCCACTAGATAACAGGTGTAATATTAAGCATATCCTCCGCTAATGGCACGACGAGTAAGATATCGAATGGTATTTCATCGTTATTAGAGTCCTCGAAAGCCATTCGTATACCGAGAAGGGTAGAATAGGCTCCGGCGTCCATAGCCCATCTATACTTCGATATTCTAAGGACAGGACAAAGAATCCGAGCGACGCTACTAACATCCGGGTCCCAATAATTAACCGCAGTTTCGACGATACTTTTATACAAACCTCTTAGGACGTCATGACGTTTTTTCATATCCGACTTCGTCTTTACGCATGTTAGTATAGCCACGTGTATAATGATTTTTGCATTAAGATTATATGGCTCCGTTACTAGAATTTCCTCGGATTCCAAAACCTTATAATCCGCGAGGGCGGCCACGAGTTCCGGACCGGCTCCTTTGCGGATAACTACGTTAATGCTACCGAAACGATTAGTATCTAATTGCCTCTACGTAGCGTTTACCAAACAGACGTCCTTCTCTAGCATCTACATAATGTTACCGACCACGAACTTTACGCTGTTCATGCATGACGGCATTGGTTTTTTATAAGATTAATAGAAACGATCGTTCCCTACTAGATTATTTAGGTCTTGAAGTGTCTATTGGGCATGGCGTATGGATCCAGAAGTTTTGGCCGGTTCCGAAGGTCTAGCATCTTCCACGGGTGGCGGAGCTAATTATACCGCCTTCCCTTTTCCTTTGCTTGGCTTAGTCGGAAGGCTCTAATCGCCTGCCATTTTGTTAAACCTATATAATCTGTTTAGAGGCGTCTGTGAATTGCGATTACTAATGAGATAAACGAACGAATTGTGAGACTTGTTAACGTATACGAGAGTAAGTAAGTTGATATAGGAGAGAGGAAATTATAAGGTGGTATATATTCATATACCTTCGTGCGAATACCAAGCTAGTCTCGTTTAGGTAGTAACATTATAAAAGTAAATAGAGGTTAATGAACCGGATACAATATAGATAAGTAGTAAAGTAAAGTAATACTAAGTGAATGAAATGAACCCTCCCTTACGTCGCGTAAGTCGGAATAACGTAATACTAGTTCGAAGCCTATACTCACGTATACTAAGATGTTACTAGGAGTAAAAGGCTATCGGCGCTCGACGTTTCCAGACGCCTCTAGTACGGAGTGGAACCACGTTTTAAAGGTATGGAAAACGAGTATGGGAATGCTTAACGGAGCGTGTGAGACAGTATTGGAAATTATAATAATATTTAACTAGGCGTCGATTATGAAAGTAAGGAGATGTAATAAGCCATGAGGACGACCATCCTCATATAGACTATTAAAGGAAAGATACTAGTAGCCACGAACATAATAAAATAACTAGTGGAATATAAATACACGCTGTTAAAGAAAAGTACCAACTATAGACGCGACTAGAAACGCCGATTCTAATCCCTCCTAGAAGACGGTTAAGCCTCATCGTTATCTCCACCTATGTTTATTAGTGTCTCATCTATTATAAACTACTCTACTATATAAGTGGTCTAGTCCTCATTAACGAATCGTTCGGCAGCGTATTCTATTAGGAAGAGGTCTTCATAGTCTTCGATTAACTATATTATGCGGATCATAGGCTCTAATATAGATCTTAATAATATTATTTTCTCGCTGGCTTCTCGCAGCGAATGGATCCTATCTCTACTATCTACCTCGTCCTTACCATGACCATAGGCACTACGCTTAGTAGGGTCCTCATCCAGGCGGTTATTAGGGCGGCGCATAGTGTCACTAATGATGTTAAATGTACTAGTAGCCCTCTCCGTCCGATCGGTAACACCTAGCCTCTCACTTTAGTTAATGACGATACTACGGTTAAATGTTAGGAGGCGTTTTATGACTTCAAGCACGGGAACAGCCGTGGATTCCGGTTTACATAGCTTCTTAAACTCCGGATCGTCTTCATGGATAATTAGACCGAAATCGTGGTATACATCTCTAATTATGGGATACCAGCCCTTAAGAACAGGCGGAACGATAACATCGAGAGTAGTATCGAGGGTACCGTCCACGAGACTAGACAGAGTAGTAAACATCTTAGGCAATGCTCAGCGAGTCATGGCCATGGACATTTTAGATGCCCATGTGTTTAGCATATAGTACTTAGAAAGCAGGGTCGGTAAGAGCTATTTAAGTCGAAATATACGACCCAAGAGCTGCCGTAGGAGAGCGAGATTAGCTGGATAAGAAAAGAAATGAACATTTCTATTCGCCTTCTATAAATTAAAACCAACCCCTGTAATTCCGCATGTATTAACGAACTAATCGATCCGGGAGGGAACTCTATTAATGTTATCCTAATGGGTATTGTCGCCGTCTAAGAACGCACTAGGATCGGCGATTCTAGGCGCCTCTAGCAGGTCGTCCTTATCACCGGTAATGTCGTTAGGCGTGGTCTTATTAAAGGTAGAGTCCATCTTCTAGTTAAATAGTCTATACTTTTGTTATCTGGTTGGCGCGTCGTCTTCGGCAAAGACGCGTCCGACGTGCTTAAAGCCTATTAGCCGTAACATGTAACATACTAACTCACGCTCAATAGGATATTACACCTATACGATGCCCTTCTCCTGGTACTTAAAGTACTACGTTACAGCTTATATAGCGAGTGCTACGAGCCGAGGGGACTAGTTAAATAGAATACCTAGTAGTACTACTAGCACGTTCTCTACTTCGTTAACTAGCTTGGTAAGTCCACCCTTAGGATGGCTTCGATCACGAGCTTAGGCGATGTTTAGTAGGAAAGCGTATATCTAACGCGGGCTCTCGTTCTTAGAGCTAGGACGAGGGAATTTTGGCTTCTATTCATTATCTTTCCTTAACGCTACTATGTCCCTACGCATGAAAAAGTGTGAATACCTAATGTAGATAATAGTAGACATTAGCACTAAGTTCCGCTATATGCGGGAGTTCAGGCTTAATTCCGAGGGTCGGTAAGGATTCGGCTAAATAAGCTTCTTTCGGGTCTCCTCGCTAATCGTGTCGTACTTAGCCTACACCTCTAGTAGATACGCCACTTTAATCTATACCCTTTCGGCCCGCGGAATGTAGTTGCGGATTAAAGTAGCATTATCATCGCTATACCGTGAGTCGTTCGTGCGGCGAAGTACAAATGCTCCGTATATTATACTTAAGCACTGGCCTTGCACTAGCTCTAATGGCGGCTTAGGATCATTATAGCCGGAACCTAGGCACCAGTGCTTAAAGGCCGGAGAAGTCAGACATATACCTAGGACGCGATCTAGTTTTTCCTGCGAAACGTCCGGATACAGTCTTACTATCATCGATAGAAACTTATATAGGTTAGACTTCGCCTTAAATGGCGGCTATATACCGGAAATACCGTTGAAATAATCGTCGAGGGATGCGCTCTATTATGTGACTTTAAGAAGACCCTGCATATTACTAGCGAAGTTGTAGACGGGAGTACCAGTCATAAGGACGTAGTGTTTAATGTTAAGCTCGTAGATGGACCGGTTGGTCGTAGAGTTAACATTCCGGAAGCCGTGTGCTTCGTTAGCTACCGTATAGTCGAAGTACTAAGCGAGGTTCCAAGGGGCATCATGTGGAAAATGCTACTTCTCCATATATTTCATTTCTACCGATGCGACGGCGTCCCAATTTCTAGATTTAATATTCTAGAACTCCGCGTACCCTCGTATTTCCTCCCTCCACCTAGTAAGGCCATAACGGGCGTTAAACGTTGCGTAGGACATTAAGATGATAGTACGGGCGTTAATCTCCTCCGGTCTAAAGTACTAACTCTTCTATGTTAAGATACCTACTAAACGCGTAGTACCAGTGGCTGATTTCCCGACCCTGCTATCGCCGTGACTAGTAATGACACGGAAGAGCGAGGAAAAGTCCGTAATCTACTCAGCGGTTTAGGTAAGGAGATTTACGGGTACTAATAGCAGGGCGGGCTTTAGAGGAGACACTAGGATACCCTTCTCGCGATTGGCGATGCGCTCGTTAATTAACTATATTTTAGTTAGATATGTGTAGGCGCGTCTAGAATCGGCGATTCCAGAGGCCACTAGGGGAAGGAACTTACATGTAGCTAGTGCGCCAAAAGTGTAAATGTTTTACCTAGTCCGACACCATCTACTAATACTATACCCCGTGAAACCGAACTATCCATACTCTTTCGGAGCCACCAAGCTCCTATAAGTTACCACTAATATAGAGTAACGCTAGGATTCATGTTAAGAATCTAAGGTTTTCGGGTACTAGTGACTCGGAGACCCACCGCGGCTGTAACATAGTCTTATAGTTGGGCGGCGCCGTTATTACTCTAGTCATTTAACCAATCCTATAGTTTGCTTCTCTTCTCGCTGCCCGACTTTAACTAATCTATAATTAGTACTATATTACTAAGATCCGTGTCAATGCGTGCGGTAATTGCCGTCTTATTATTATTCGCTTAAATAACCTCGTTAGTTTCAATCTCGGAGATCTTTTAAGTACCGCTTAAGCCCTTTACAAGATTCTTAATAGTAAGGTAAGAGTGGTACGGACACGTTCCTAGTTTAAGATGATCCGGATTAACGACGTTATAATCCTTATAAGTTACCGTAAGCGTGGCCTAGAGCTCTTCTTCGGAGGGGAGACTCTCGAGATATAACCTAGCGAACACACGCCGATCGCCCATATTAATGCCCTTGTCTTCGACTATAAATTCTAGATTATTATAGGTATCTATCGATGCTCCCGATGGATTTAGACCGCGTTTCTATATATTAGTCCACGCCTTAGTATGGTACTTAGGCAATTTTTTCCTCGGTGCCTTTATAGGCTTCAAGGAACGTTTTAGTTTTACTAGGGCAGCTATAGGTCCTTCTTTTATAGTGGCATCTGGTATAGCTAGTGCGTCTAGCATGGGTGCGTCGAGGAGCGAGTTCGGATCTATCGCTTAGATATCTTCTATCGGGTCCTAATCTATAGCATCGCTAGTATTCTTACCAAGTTCCCTATTCCGGTTAGTGGTGGAGTTACTATCGGCGGCTTAGTGTTAATCTAAACGCCTTCTAGCTTTTTTCTTAGAAGGGCCTATAATCGTCGATCCTAGACGGGCCTATAGAGTGATTAGTGGATGAGTAGGGGGAACCCAGTTAGTAGGAACTTTCTAAGGCATTGTGGACATCTACCTCGCGTTAGCATAGACAATTTTCATGCGAAAGTTGTCCTCGTATTCTTGCCCTTAGTTACGGGCATGGCGTCGGTATTTAAGTATATCGTTAAATAGAAGATATTTGTCGTTCTCCGACATACGCATTCGCGAAAGAGGATTCGTACGATTAGAAGATAGCTTAAGATCTATCTAGAGAATAAGAGACGCGCGCTACTAGTAATCTTCCCATTCACTACGACTAGCGACTATTACTATAAGGTAATGGGCACGGTCTTCTTTAATAAGTTCCATAGCTAAAGTGAACTGGCTAAACGGATGCGAACCTTCCAGAATCCGCGGGTCAAAGAACTCTATATAGTATTCATTAAGCAAGGCGTTAACTTCAGGATCCTAGAATAAAATGGCTGCTTTAACCACGCTAATTCCGAGGTTAGAGGCAATCTTACCAAGGCGACGGTCCTTTTCCAGCCTAGGTTCCTTTTTACGCTCCTGTCTAGCCTCTTTTCCCGGCTTTAGCTCGATAGGTGCGCCTTTTCCTGCTTCGCCTACTTCCTCCTCTATAGCAGCGACCTCGAGAAATCGCTCTATGGCTTTAGAATCGTAGCCTATTAAGCTACTACCTACGATAAGAGCGGATAAGGTAGTATATTTCTTCTATAACGCTGCTCTGGTTTCGCGAATCTCTTTAGTAGCTGCATCTAAAAACGGATCGAGAAAATCATCATCTTCTTCCTCTTATGCTTGAATGTTAACTAGAAGAAAAGGAGCTATAATCTCTAGAAGGGTCTATAAACGGCGATCGGTGGGTTGAATATATATATGTCGAAAAAATAAGATTACGTAAGAAAATAGTAAAATGATGTAGGAGAGATAGAGAGAGTTGACGGAAATAATATATATAAATATATATTTTGGGTCTTGTCACGTGTTGTTACACAACCTCCTTACGTCACGTCATGACGTGTTATAAGTGAAGTGAATTAACCTATCGGTTTTATTAGAAATTCCAGCCCCTACTCTAGGAATCACTGTTTATAGGGTGCCCTATAGTTAGGGTCATAGATCCTAGTTCTTATACTCTTATACTAAATGCGCAACTGCGTTACTAGGAGAATCCTTTTCACGTCTCCCTCTTCATATTCTATTTAACATAGGGCGACGTGGATTAAGAGCACTAACTCACGGACGTTACCTATAGGCATTAAGATGCTCCATAGACTTTGCATACTTCTAGACTTAAACTATAATAACTATAAATCCCACCGACCCTATCGACTAACATCCACAACTAGTAGAGTGCCCTAATTAAATTCTAGAATAGCATTCGTAATTTCATACGCCCCCTCTCGCCGCTTACGCTATAGCTAACGGGCTAATTCACTAGAGTCCCATGCACCTTCTCTTATTACTATTGGTGGTTGGCCCGTTTTCGAAATTCCAAACCCTTCTAACCGGGTAGCCCATCGTCTAGATAGGTGGACTACTATTACGCTAAGAGCTCGATATAAACCGAATTTCTATACATACTTAATATTTCCCGGGAGCCGACGGAACCCTAGTTATCCCTCCGGTCTAGGCTCCTACCGCGGACATAGAATTTATGGCCAGTGACAGGTGAAGTAGTACACGTGTTTAGGCATGACATTACTCTTTCGTATTTAGTCGGCCAGCACACGCTTAACCATGTCTATAAGTCGTCTATTATCTAAGTAGTGCGTAGTATAGACTCTACTATTAGTACCACATGCATCGTAATAACTAGCCTACTATCGTCTCTACTCGGATAATGACTAGACGAGACTTATATATTGTCTATTTTATAGACGACGTTCTTGTGCTACCAGTTTCATGGACTGTTATTATATGAACATTCGTTGATTATAAGTGTCCTCGCCCACGCAATCTTCGTCCGGACGCGCACTAGGAAGTTCTAATACCCGCCCTTTCGCTGGTCTTCCTGCCTCGCCTACACTATTACCATGTATACGTGCTCGTTTCATCTTATTCCACGTATAAGGCGGCTAGCGCGACGGTTAATCGGTCTAGAGTAGGTCGGGTTAACTGTTTAAGGAACCCACGGGCGAGCTACTAGAAAGGTCTAGAATCGCCGATTCTAGATCCTCCTAGAGGGTCTCTAAATATAGTAGGAATGTCGATAGGGTAGGGTCGTACACATCGCACTTCTCTTTAACCCCGTTATAGCTCTTTCTACTAAACGACCCGTCGAGATACTCATCTAGAAACACCCTATAACACCCTATCCAGTTCATGTAAGCAAGTGTCATCGCGTCCTTAGTAGTGGCTTCTCCTATCTTTACGAAGATAGCGAGGCTTCTTATTAGGTGGTCGCGACCGGCCCGGCCGCTTTCTTATATATAGTCTAGAAATAAAGAAGGAGCGCCTAAGTATATCACGACGCGAATGGTAGCTAGGTCAACACCTAGGCCGAGAGCGTTTATAGTAACTATAATACCTTCTTCTTCGGCGATGAATCCGTTAAGGACCTGCTCCTTAGCTATACTCTCTCGATAGTACGCATCGTAACCAAGCTCCCCTACGAGGCTAATAGCTTGCGTGACCATAGGCGTGAAGACGAGACATCTACCGGTAATGCCCTATCTAACACGTCGCACGTATTCCGCTTAACTACGGGTACCTCGAGCCTTCTTAGGTAGGCTCCCAAGCGCATATATAATATTAGGCCGAGTTATGGCTTCGCGGTGGATAAACACATCTCTAGCGTTTACACGTATGGCTTTCCATAGCCCTGCTTCATCATCGGGTGGTAGGGTTATACTTAGGAGTATAATCTACACCTCTAGATCGACCATTATTTAGATATCGCGAAAGGCCGGCCGGAACTAGTCGTTATTAATGATATAGTGGCACTTATCGATAATCACACGGTCGAGTAGTCCTAGGCTATTTATATAGTTTATAAACTACATAAACGGTTCGCCTTTTATAGACTCGGGCGTAATAATAATAATAGACGTCCCGTAAGGGGGGTGCGTAGGGTCGAATGCTTCTATAGTAATACCACTATTATAATAACGGCGGATAAGGTCATCTCGAAGGGCCTTTAGCGGGATAATAACTAGTATTACTCCGTCTAGTACTATTAACATAGCTAATATGAAAGGTAGACTTTTACCTAAGGTAGTCGGCTATATAACCAGTATTAGACTACGGCCTTCGACTAGCCCGGTAAATACCTTTTCTTATTAGAGTCACATTCTAGCGTTTTCGTCACGGAGTACGACCTTAACAGCCTTATGCGGGTTCTTCTCCTAGAGTGCAGCCTAACGGTAAGCCCGTGCTTATGAAATTCGCGTCTAGCTAGGCGTAACCTTATTAAACACAGGCACCCCGATCTCGTGCTACCATGCGCGACTAACCTAGAAGTACCTCTCTATTACCGTCTTTACCGTACTAAACGGGCTACTTATATCACGACTATACGCGATCTAGGTAATCTTTATACTATGACTAGCTTACTCATTAAGGATAGCGGTTAGACTATCATCTCGGGTACCCGGATTCTGGTCCTCGTCCTATAGACTATCCTTATCGGCCTCGTCCATATGGTTAATCTCGTACTTCTGAAGCTTGCGCTTTATAATTATAATCGCGACTTAACGATAGTCTGCGATACCCATATTAACTACTCCTATACTAAGATGCATCTATTCCCTTATCGCATGGCTTATGCGCTCGCTAGTCTAGTACGGCGATAGCCATATATATACAGGGACGACTGTCTATGTTGGATCCATGAATCTCTTGAGTTGTTCCTTCCACGGGATGACTAACCAAAGATACCATATTAGAATATTATATACGACCGGCGGTAGATATCGAAGAATTAGGCGGATATCTCCTTTACGTGTATACCCTTTATAGTACTTTATTATAATGTAAAGCTTATTACCATAAAGAATAATATTACGTATATCACCCTGTCGCGTGTTACGGTACCATATACTTAGGATTTCTAGTCCGCGTGTAGACTGTCCAGCTGTTATATAGATAAGGATAAGTAGCTAACTAAGAAAGACTCGAATCTGTTCGAGCTAGTCTTATACTTTTTATGTATCTAACTCTCCTCTGGTAAAGAACGCTAACTGTATATTCTAGTCCTTTTCAACTCGCCTTCTAAACCATGAGGACTACTCCTAGAGGCACGCTAACTAAAGGAAGCTATACCCGATTGTGTTATCAGCCGTATTATCCGTAAGTAACTACCATGGGATTACTAGTGCTCCCTCTATAGAAGATAGTAGAAGAATATTAGTATATAATGTTCGCGCTATTCGATTTATTAAGCTAGAGACCATCCCTCTAAATGCATTCATTGGAATTGTATATGCATTATACGTAAGTATATCATTAACCCACTACATCTTTGCGTCTATAGCTATGTTACCCACGATTTTAAGACCGTAAGCTCTAAGTTATATCTACTATCCAACTGCACCGCGACTACCGCGGAGGAGATACTAGTTAATAAATGGTAAGAGATATCCGAGGACATCTATAGTACTACCCGCTTACTTATGGAAGACTTCCTAGATGGCCCACTTAAGGACAATAAGGCGGGAGAACTTAATAAGTACTAATAGAGTAGACGTATAGTTCTATGGTGAAAGGAAGCCCCCGTTTCGATCTACACATAGTAGGCCGGATAATGGGACTAGTGCGGCCTTAAATAAGTACACATATAGCGTCTATCGTAGTAATGTAATGATAAGCTATATATAAAGGTAGGCGATGCGAGAAAGAGGGCGGGTTTAGATACCAAATACCTCGTATAGTTTTGCCCGACGTGTTTCCAGATCCCACTCGCTAAGATTACCTTCTACTCTACGATAGTCGTTAGTTACGCTCGTCTCGGGTTTAGAGTCGGAGCTACTATTACTCTCGCCGGATGGCTGTTCCGTAGTGATGTAGTCCAGAAGCCGAGTAATACACGCCTTAGTCTTAGTGTTAAAGACTAAAGCCGGGAGGTAGTAGGGATTCTAGTACGCTTGGATAGCCCCGATAATAAGACGCTGAAGATACTTCGAGTGATCGCGGAATATTTTCTAGTTCCGATAACGTGCGAGAGGTCGCTATAGCCCGGGCTCTATTATAGAACGCGCTACTTCTAGGCATAGTAGTCTATCGTGAGCGCCTACTGTCTCATAGGCTTGGTAGAATAGAACTCTTAGACTAGACGATACTATCTTTAGCGGCCCTTCGGTGGGCATCTCTAGGATATTAGTAAGTGCGAGGACATCCATGCCTTGGAAGTAGTTGATGAATTTTATACGTTCTAGCCATGGATCAACTTCGTCGATAGCGCCGGTTTATACTATATAACCTTTGTCTTTGAGGACGTTCTACTAATTTAACTAGAGCTAATCGAGTGTGGTGTTAATTGGTGTACGAGTGTATATAGTGGTACGTGTTATAATCGGGATAAGGCGGTTTAACCGGCCTGTATTATATAGGCATTGGTATGGTATATTATCTCTATATCCACGTGTCTCATCGTCCGCTCTAGGTGGAGCCCCCCTACGCCCATTAAAGAACGCTATATGTTCGTTTTTAATATATAATTTAAGATTCTTTAAAAGGCCAAGAACTAATCCGCAGTTCTCGACAATATATTAGAACCCTCTCTTAACCGGAATATACCTTATAGGCCGTGACAGGGCAGCGGGTATTCGAAGGTCGTCGATTATAGTAGCGGTATAACTAAGCGAGTAAATATGGCTTTTAATGATCTTACGATACTTTAGTCTCATTCCTCGGTATTCTTAAAGGAGGTGGCGGTCTAGCGCGGATGGGAGGATGGCGCGCTTGCAATCTCGATAGATAATTGCTCCGGTGTCAAGGTCGACGACTAGTAGTGAATCTACGGACATCTATATATATTCGTATAGTGTTAGTAGGTTGGCGTCGGGAGTAGACTATAATACATATAATTATGTTCCTATAGATAGGTGTAGAAACGGCGATTCTAGACGGCTCTAGAGTAAGGAGTTTTCAGGTCCTTTAGTTTTCGACGGCCGTGCCATAGGAAATCAATGGCTGCCACTAGCCCCGATCTTCAGCCAAGGTGTTCTACTATTAGTGTAGTCGCTACTGAATTAGTGTATTTCATTCTCTAATCTACCTCATCATTATCTATAGTGCGCATGTCCTATGGCGTACTTAGCCCTAGGCTATGATCTTATAGATTAATTAGATTTATAAACTACTCTAGCGCCATATTCGTAATATTTTCCGAGGTCATTCTCTCGATCGGGAACTACCTAGGTGGCGCAATGTCTCCATTCAAAATCTAATGTAAATATGGCTTAACACCATAACAAAGTCGTCTAAGCCATGGATGACATCGGTCTACGAGGCCTAGGAAGTCCTCTAGTATACTAACCCTTATCTTCTAGAAGAAAGAGTCCGTAATTTCGGGTGGTAGTAGAACGAATAACCCGTCGCCAAACCTCTCGCGGATTAACGCCTAGTGCGCGCCATGACTCAACCAATCGTTCATTTATTTCCACTGTCTTATCCGCTTAAAGGCCTCCCCTTACTATATATATATATCGATATCTAGGTCCTACGGTTATTCTAGACTTGGCGCATGATCTCCCATGAGTTGATTAATACGGGCATATAGACGAGCCTTTATAATTGACCGGATGCCTTGCCTAGTGCTAAGGGTGAATGTGCGGTCTATTTTTAGTGCCTCCTTAGTAGCGTTTATAGCTTCATATATATCCGCGAGTGCTAGGCGACGTCTAATCCCGATAAGACGCGATGTGTGTACTAGCTTAACGATCTTAAAGTAGAGTGTACTGGCCTAGTCTATGAATGTACGCACTAAGCGTTCCCTAGTCGACGTCGTATCCCTAATAACAACCTATAGGGGATTAAGGCTGTGAGGCGCTGTGTCTACCGTCTTACCGTCTCGCCATTCTTATAGTAGTAATCTAAAGTGAAGTAGCGTTAACGGTGAACCAATCTCTAATGCGCGATTAAGGAGTTGTCCAACCATGTTTATATCTTTAGGGAAGTGTTATAATGTGCCTATCCAACGAAGATGACTTACATTTGCACAGAGCCATGCTTCATGTTCGTTCCGTGACGACGGGCTATCGGGGTTGGTAAATGGCTCCATGACCTCCCCAAGCATAGCCTTATACTTTGCTCTTAACTTGGCCCGGATTTTATTACTTACCCTCGTGGTCGTTAGCGGAGTTCTCGTAGTTAACTATTCGTTCTAGTTAGATACATCATTACGGCGCCGCTTTCTAGGGGTATATATAGACTAACGCTCTTCTTCGTCGTCCTCTTCTCGCTCTTAATCGGTATCGTAGGCTATTATCTCTAGTTACGCTGGTACTATACGAAGAGCTACCGTGGTGCTAGGAGTTATATAAGATTATTAAGAGGGTAGGGGAGATGTCGGAGGCGGTAGGCATGTGTTAGGAACGAAATCGTCTTCTTCATCGTTATTAGGCGAGTTATTATTCGTATTGGTAACGTGTAAATAGGCTGGAATCTGTTGCTCGTTTAGCTAACGAGCCGCTGCCTCTAGTAATCGTGCGATGAATAGTGGCGG